GGGGATGGCATGGGGAGATGGGGATGGGTCATGATGGGGATGGGGATGGTCCATGGGGAGATGGGGATGGGTCCATGGGGAGATGGGGATGGGTCATGGGGGATGGGGATGGGTCCATGATGGGGATGGGTCCATGGGGAGATGGGGATGGGTATGATGGGGATGGGATGATGGGGATGGGTATGGGGAGATGGGGATGGGATGATGGGGATGGGTATGGTGGGGATGGGGATGGGTATGATGGGGATGGGTATGGTGGAGATGGGGATGGGTATGGTGGAGATGGGGATGGGTATGATGGAGATGGGGATGGGTATGATGGGGATGGGGATGGGGATGATGGGGATGGGGATGGTCATGGGGGATGGGGATGGGATGGTGGGGATGGGGATGGGTATGGTGGAGATGGGGATGGGTATGGGGAGATGGGGATGGTGAGATGATGGGGATGGTATGGGGAGATGGGGATGGGGCATGGGGAGATGGGGATGGGGATGGGGAGATGGGGATGGGGATGGGGGAGATGGGGATGGGGCATGGGGGAGATGGGGATGGGGCATGGGGAGATGGGGATGGGGCATGATGGAGATGGGGATGGGTCAATGGGGGAGATGGGGATGGGGATGGGGAGATGGGGATGGGGACATGGACATGGGGATGGGGATGGGGAGATGGGGATGGGGACATGGGGAGATGGGGATGGGTCATGGGGAGATGGGGATGGGGCATGGGGAGATGGGGATGGGGCAATGGGGAGATGGGGATGGGTCCATGGGGGGATGGGGATGGGTCAATGGGGAGATGGGGATGGGTGCATGGGGGAGATGGGGATGGGGCCATGGTGGGGATGGGGATGGGTCCATGGGGAGATGGGGATGGGTATGGGGAGATGGGGATGGGCATGATGGGGATGGTTCCATGGGGAGATGGGGATGGGGCCATGGTGGAGATGGGGATGGGGCCATGGGGAGATGGGGATGGTCATGGGGAGATGGGGATGGGTCCATGATGGGGATGGTTCCATGGTGGAGATGGGGATGGGTCCATGATGGGGATGGGGATGGTTCCATGGTGGAGATGGGGATGGTTCCATGGTGGAGATGGGGATGGGTCCATGGTGGAGATGGGTCCATGGTGGAGATGGGGATGGTTCCATGGTGGAGATGGGGATGGGTCCATGGTGGAGATGGGGATGGGTCCATGATGGAGATGGGGATGGGTCCATGATGGAGATGGGGATGGGTCCATGGTGGAGATGGGGATGGGTCCATGATGGAGCTGGGATTCGCTCCATGATGGATCTGGGGATGTCCCCCCATTGCTCCCATTGCAGATGAACACCTCCCTATTGGGCAGCATTGGGATGCTCAACTCGGCCCCCCAGCTCCGCTGCATCAAAACCTACCAGGTCCCCCCAGTGCAGCCGGCCTCGCCGGGCTCCCACAATGCCTTGCGCCTGGCCCGCCTCATCTGGACTTCCAATAGGAACGTCATCCTCATGGCCCATGATGGCAAGGAGCATCGCTTCCTGGTCTAAGGTAACCCCCAATGGCATTCCATAGGGATTTCCAAGCTTTCCCGATGTTCCCAGTCGCTTCCCAGTATTCCCAGTGCATCCTGATGGATAGGGGAATGTGCTGCTTGGGATGGAGCTGTCCGTCCCAATGGCTTTCCAGCCTGGAGTTCCCAGCTGCTCCAAAGGCCTCTCCCCATTCCATGGGTTGGGAAGGGAAGAGATGGGCTTGGGTTGGGTATTCCCACTCCAAAGGGGGATATTCCCACTCCAAAGGGGATATTCCCACTCCAAAGGGGATATTCCCACTCCAAAGGGGGATATTCCCACTCCAAAGGGGATATTCCCACTCCAAAGGGGGATATTCCCACTCCAAAGGGGATATTCCCAATCCAAAGGGGGATATTCCCACTCCAAAGGGGATATTCCCACTCCAAAGGGGGATATTCCCAATCCAAAGGGGGAATATTCCCATTTTTCCCATGCCATTCCCACCCCATGGCGCCCTCCATGGCTTCCCTTGGGATAAGGGCTCAGCGATGGGAATGGCTCCAATGGAAGCCTTTTTCTTTCCATAGGGATTTCCTGGCTCTTCTCCCGCATTCCCAATGGATTTCTCCAGGTGGAAGCCACCTTTTTCCTTGGAAAAGCTCCGGGAATGATGCAGCATCCCCGTTATCCCAGCAAAAAAACCTCCTTGGAGTCCATGCGTTCCCATGGGATTTGGGATTGGGGTTTAGGTGCTCGATGCTCCCTGGTCCAGGTCGGGAAGTGATTCCCAAATCCATAGGGATCAAAGGAAGCCCCTTTGGGAATGGCTCCTTCCTCCCATCACCCCCCCCCCATTGCATGCCTATGGGATAGGGCCACATCCATGTTTCCCTTCCCAATGGGAATGCCGCCCGCTTCCCTATCAAAACCACTTGGAATTCCCAATAGGAAAAGCAAGGCCTCCATGCTCACGGTAGGTATCCCAATTCCCATCCCAGTGCAAGGCGATCCGTGTTCCCAATGGTATTCCCAGTGCTATTCCCAGTGCTTCCAGGCTGATCCCAGTGTAACCTCGTCGTCGTGCTTGGTTTTCCAGAGCCATGGATGATCCCAAAGGAAGAGAGTGGGGTGGGATGCTCCGGCTTCAGCGCATCCCGGTTTTCCTGCTCTGTATCCGTATGGATTTCGCTGTTATTGGGGGGGGAATAAAGCTGGAATGGGAAAACCTTGGCTTTGTGGCGTTCCCATTGGGAAAAGGATCCATGGGATCCATCCCATGAAGCCGAGCGGCCTCCTCCGAAGCCTTGGGATGCAGCAGCGGGATCCGCATGGACCGAGGTAAAGCATCCCATAAAGGGGAGGGGGGCTCCAGAGGATGCCCTCATTCCAGAGCTTGGGAATCACTTCCCAATGCAATCCCAGCTTTCCCACAGTGTTCCCTATGGAAAGCTCAAGCCTTTTAAGGACAGCCTGGCCACGGCATTCCCAGTGCTCCCAGCATCTCCAGGTAGGGATCCAGCCCGATCCCAATGGGATCCAAGCCTTCCCCCCCATCCCCTTGGGCAGTTTGCTCCGTTCCAGAGGCCATTCCCATGGGATTTGAGCTTGGAAAAGCAAGGAGCATCCCCTGCCAGTGGTCCAAGCCTCGTCCCCATTGGCTTTGCTGGGGTGAAGGGATCCTAAAGCTCATCCCTAAGGAATATCCCTTTCCAGAGGATAAGAGCAGGGATGGGCACCCCCATTCCCTTAGGAACAAGGGGGGAAACCGGGAATTCTCATGGAAGAACAGGGCTCCCGTCCTCAGCATCCCTATAAGCAAAGGCCTCTGCTCCCTTAGGGACCCCATTCCCATTCCGGGATGGATTCCCAAGGGGAAAAAGGCAGGATAAGGCAGTGCCAGCATCAAAGCCAGCCCCAAATCCCATGGCATTCCCATTGGGATACAGGCAGGCCTCCCCATTGATCCCAAGGGATGGGAGCTTGGGATATGCAGTGTGCTTCCCAGCCTGGATCCCTGCATTGGGGATGCTGGGGTACACTTGGAATGACATGGAATAACATGGATCACCCCTATGGGATCACCCCTATGGGATCACCTCTATGGGATCACCCCTATGGGATCACCCCTATGGGATCACCTCTATGGGATCACCCCTATGGGATCACCTCTATGGGATCACCCCTATGGGATCACCCCTATGGGATCACCCCTATGGGATCACCTCTATGGGATCACCCCTATGGGATCACCTCTATGGGATCACCTCTATGGGATCACCCCTATGGGATCACCCCCTAAGGATGCTCCCTATGGATCACCAGCTCCCAGCTGGAAGCTCAGCCCCGTGTTGAAGCCATTGGGGCTAATGGGGGAGTATTGGGTTTAATGGGGGGCATTGGGTGTAATGGGGGGCATTGAAGCTAATAGGGGGTACTGGGCTTAATGGGGGGCATTGGGATTAATGGGGGGCATTGGGTCTAATGGGGTTGCATTGGGGCTAATGGGAGCGCATTGGGTCTAATGGGGGTGCATTGGGCTTAACGGGGGTGCATTGGGGCTAATGGGGTTGCATTGAGCTTAATGGGGGTGCATTGGGGTTAATGGAGGCATTGGGTTTAATGGGGTTGCATTGGGCTAATAGGGGGCATCGGGCTTAATAGGGGGCATTGGAGCTTATGGGGTTGCATTGGGCATAATGGGAGCACATTGGGGCTAAGGGGGGGTGCATTGGGGTTAATGGAGGCATTGGGTTTAATGGGGGTGCATTGGGGCTTAATAGGGTGCATTGGAGCTTATAGAGGGGCACTGGACTTAATAGGGGGCATTGTGGCTAATGGGAGTGCATTGGGTCTAATGGGGTTGCATTGGGGCTAATGGGAGCGCATTGGGTCTAATGGGGGTGCATTGGGGTCAATGGGGGTGCATTGTGTCAATGGGGGTGCATTGGGGTCAATGGGGGTGCATTGGGGTCAATGGGGGCATTGGGTTTAATGGGGGTGCATTGGGGCTTAATAGGGTGCATTGGAGCTTATAGAGGGGCACTGGACTTAATAGGGGGCATTGTGGCTAATGGGGGTGCATTGGGCTTAATGGAGCGCATTGAGCTTAATGGGGCTGCATTGGGCTTAATGGGGGTGCATTGGGCTTAATGGGGGTGCATTGGGCTTAATGGGGGTGCATTGGGCTTAATGGGGTTGCATTGTGTCTAATAGGGGATGCCCTGTGTCCAACGGGATCCCCTGGGGGGGGGGTTTCCCACGGGCCCGCCCGTCCCCTTCCCATCCCCATCCCCTTCCCGTTCCCGTTCCCGTTCCCGTTCCCCTTCCCTTCCCGGCTTCCATTGCCTTGCCCTTCCCCCTCCCTCTTCCCCCTGCATCCATCCATTTCCTGCTCGGCTCCGCTCGGGCCCCCCCCCCCCCATTATCCCCATTCATTCATCCCCAGTACCCCCAGTACCCCCAGTACCCCCAGTACCCCCAGTACCCCCAGTACCCCATGCGGAGCTGCAGGATGCTGCGGGTGGGCAGCGCCCTGGGGCTGCTCATGCTCAGCCTCGCCCTCCTCATCCTCTCCCTCCTGAGCTACGCGGCCCTGCGCAAGGACAGCGCCTTCGGGCCCCCCCGGGCCGCCGGGCCCCGCATGTACATGTTCCAGGCGGGATTCAGGTGAGGAGCACACCTACCCCATCCCAGTGCGTCCCAGTTCCATCCCAGTTCATCCCAGTTCGTCCCATTCCATCCCATTCCATTCCATCCACATCCACATCTGCACACACAGGGCCTGGTCCTACCCCCCCCACGTCCCCCCCCCTCATGCGCGGCGATGGTATTGAGGGGGATGGGGATGGGGATGCGGGAGGGGGGGGAATGGTGGTACCCGGCCTGGCTTGCTGCATCCCAGTGCATCCCGACCCTGTTTATCCCAGTGCATCCCAACCCTGTTTATCCCAGTGCATCCCAACCCTGTTTATCCCAGTGCATCCCAACCCTGTTTATCCCAGTGCATCCTGACCCTGTTTATCCCAGTGCATCCTGACCCTGTGCATCCCAGTGCATCCTTACCCCATCTATCCCAGTGCATCCCAGTGCATCCTGACCCTGTCCATCCCAGTGCATCCTTACCCCATCTATCCCAGTGCATCCCAGTGCATCCTGACCCTGTCCCTCCCTGTGCATCCTTACCCCATCTATCCCAGTGCATCCTGACCCTGTCCATCCCTGTGCATGCTTACCCCATCTATCCCAGTGCATCCCAACCCTGTTTATCCCAGTGCATCCCAGTGCATCCTGACCCTGTCTATCCCAGTGCATCCAGACCCCGTTTATCCTGGTGCATCCTGACCCTGTCTATCCCAGTGCATCCCAGTGCATCCTGACCCCATTTATCCCAGTGCATCCCGGTGCATCCCGACCCTGTCCGTCCTGCTGCATCCCAACCCTGTCTATCCCAGTGCATCCTGATCCCATCTATCCCAGTGCATCCCAACCCCATCTATCCCAGTGCCTCCCAACCCTGTTTATCCCAATGCATCCCAGTGCATCCTGACCCTGTCTATCCCAGTGCATCCTGACCCCATTTATCCCAGTGCAACCCGGTGCATCCCAACTCTGTCTATCCCTGTGCATCCTGACCTTATCTATCCCAGTGCATCCCAGTGCATCCCAACCCCATTTATCCCAGTGCATCCCAGTGCATCCCGACCCCATCCATCCATCCCCGTGCATCCCTTCGCGGGCGCTGTCCATGGTGCTGAAGGCCGCTGACGCCCAGCGGATGCTGCGCCTGCATCCCTCCATGCATCCATCCCTGCATCCATGCATCCATGCATCCCTCCATGCATCCCTCCATGCATCCATGCATCCCTGCATCCCTGTGTCCATCCCTGCATCCCTGCATCCCTGTTCCCACTGTTCCAGGTCCCAGTTCGCGCTCAAGTTCCTGGATCCCTCCTTTGTCCCCATCACCCATTCCCTAAGCCAGGAGCTGCAGGAGAAGCCCTCCAAGTGGGTCTTCAACCGCACCGCCTTCGCCCAGCAGAGGTGAGCCTGGGATCCGTTCCCACCATTCCCTATGGATCCCTTTCCCCCCTCTGCTTCCACTCACCCCATCCCAAAGGGCCTTTGCCAAGCTGGAGCGGGATTTGGCCCCATTCACAGCTTGGATCTTATGGGATCCATCGAACACATCCAATGGGATCCGTTATCTAAGTGCTCCCAAGGAGCCGGCCCCACTGTGGCTTCGCTCCAGGAGGATGAGGATGGAGAGAGGGGAGTTTCCATGGGGAAAGGGGAGTTTCCATGGAGAAAGGGGAGTTTTGATGGGAAAAGGGATGTTTTAATGGGAAAAGGGATGTTCCCATGGAGAAAGGGAAAGTTTCCATGGAGAAAGGGCCTTTTTGATGGGAAAAGGGAAGTTTTGATGGGAAAAGGGCCGTTGCAATGGGAAAAGGGCCATTTCCATGGTGAACGGGCCGTTTCAATGGGAAAAGGGATGTTTTGATGGGGAAAGGGATGTTTCCATGGCAAAAGGGCCGTTTCCATGGGGAAAAGGGATGTTTCAATGGGAAAAGGGATGTTTTGATGGGAAAAGGGTCGTTTCCATGGCGAACGGGCTGTTTCGATGGGAAAAGGGCTGTTTCCATGGGAAAAGGGCTGTTTCAATGGGAAAAATGGCTGTTTCCATGGCAAAAGGTCCATTTCCATGGGAAAAGGGATATTTCAAGAGGAAAAGGGCCATTTCCATGGCAAACAGGCCGTTTCCATGGGAAAAGCCCCATTTCCATGGGGAAAAGGCCCATTTCCATGGGAAAAAGGGATGTTTCCATGGCAAAAGGGCCGTTTCGATGGGAAAAGGGATGTTTCCATGGGAAAAGGGATGTTTCAATGGGAAAAAGGGCCATTTCCATGGGAAAAGGGCCGTTTTGATGGGAAAAGGGCTGTTTCAACGGGAAAAGGGCTGTTTCCATGGTGAAAGGGCCGTGTCCATGGGAAAAGGGCTGTTTCAGTGGGAAAAAGGGCTGTTTCCATGGGAAAGAGCCATTTCCATGGGGAAAGGGATGTTTCACTGGGAAAAGGGCCATTTCCATGCCCAACGGGCTGTTTCGACGGGAAAAGCCCCATTTCCATGGGCAAAAGGCCCATTTCCATGGGAAAAAGGGCTGTTTCCATGGTGAAAGGGCCGTTTCCATGGCGAACAGGCCCTGTCCATGGGAAAAGGGCTGTTTTGATGGGAAAAGGGCTGTTTCAATGGGAATAGGGGCCGCTTCAATGGGAAAAGGGATGTTTCAACGGGAAAAGGGCCATTTCCATGCCAAACAGTCCGTTTCGATGGGGAAAGCCCCATTTCAGTGTGAAACCCCCCATTTCCCTGATGGCAACCCCCCACCAGAGCCTCTCCCCATTGCCCCCCCGTGCAGACAGGAGATCCTGCAGCACATGGACGTGGCGCGCAACTTCTCGCTGACCAAGGGCAGCGTGCGCGTGGGGCAGCTCCTGCACTACGACTACTCGAGCCACAAGCACGTGTTCGCCGTGAGCCCCACCTTCCGCTCCCTGCTCCCCGACGCCTCCCCCGTGCAGGGGCAGCGCTTCAACACCTGCGCCGTGGTGGGCAACGGGGGCATCCTCACCGGCAGCCGCTGCGGGGCCGCCGTGGACGGCGCCGACTTCGTGTTCCGCTGCAACTTCGCCCCCACGGAGCCCTTCCGGGGGGACGTGGGGGGCAAAACCAACCTGACCACCTTCAACCCCAGCATCCTGGAGAAGGACTACAACAACCTGCTCACCGTGCAGGACCGCAACAACTTCTTCCTGCGCCTGCAGGGCCTCGACGGCGCCATCCTCTGGATCCCCGCCTTCTTCTTCCACACCTCGGCCACCGTCACCCGCACCCTCGTCGACTTCTTTGTGGAGCACCGGGCTCGCCTCAAGGTGCAGCTGGCCTGGCCGGGGAACATCATGCAGCACGTCAGTAGGTGCGCAGGGGATGGGGCTGCTATAGGTACATAGGGGATGGGGCTCCTATAGGTACATAGGGGATGGGGCTCCTATAGGTACATAGGGGATGGGGCTGCTATAGGTACATAGCGTTGGTGCCTCTGGGGTGGGGATGGGGGGGTTGGAGCCGTGTGCTTATAGGGGCCATTGAGTCCTAAAGGGGTTCAGCTTGCTCTTAGGTGCGGGATGGTGGGGGGGGGGTGAGGAGGGAATGGGTGCAGTTGGGATGCTCCCACCCTTTCCCAACCTTTCCCAACCTTCTCCAAATTTTTCCAACCTTTTCCAACATTTTCCAACCTTGTCCAACTTTTTCCAAGCTTTTCCAAACTTTCCCAACTTATCCCAACCCTTTCCCACCCTTTCCCAACCTTTTCCAAATTGATCCAACCTTTTCCAACTTTTTTCTGACCTTTTCCAACTTTTTCTAAGCTTTTCCAAACTTTTCCAACCTTTTCCAAATTTACCCAACCTTCCCCAACTTATCCCAACCCTTTCCCAACCTTTTCCAAATTGATCCAACCTTTTCCAACTTTTTCTAAGCTTTCCCACCCTTTCCCAACCTTTTCCAAATGTTCCCAACCTTTCCCAACTTCTTCCAATTTTTTCCAACCTTTCCCAACTTTTCCCAACCTTTCCCAACCTCTCCCAACCTTTCCCAAATTTTTCTAAGCTTTTCCAAGCTTTTCCAACCTTTTCCAAATTTTTCCAACCTCTCCCAACCTTTCCCAACCCTTTCTCAACCATTTTCCAACCTTTCCCAACCTTTTCCAACTTCTTCCCAATTTTTCCAACTTTTTGCAACCTTCCCCAAGTTTTCTCAACCTTTCCCAATATTTCCCAAATTTTTCCAAGCTTTCCCACCCTTTCCCAACCGTTTCTCACCTTTCCCAACCTATCCCAACCCTTTCCCAACCTTTCCCAAATTTTTCCAAGCTTTCCCATCCTTTCCCACCCTTTCCCAAACTTTCCCAAATTTTCCCAACATTTCCCAACCCTTTCCCAACCTTTCCCAACTTTTTCCAATATTTTCCAAATTTTTCTAAGCTTTTCCAGCCTTTCCCAACCTTTTCCAACTTTTTCCCAATCTTTTCCAACTTTTTTCCAACCTTTTCCAATATTTTCAAACTTTTTCTAAGCTTTTCCAGCCTTTCCCAACCTTCCCAATCTTTTTCAACTTTTTCCAACCTTTCCCAAATTTTCCAACACTTTCCCAACCCTTTCCCAATCTTTTCCAACTTTTTTTTATTCTGTTCCAATATTTTCGAACTTTTTCTAAGCTTCCCCAACCTTTCCCAAATCTTTCCAATCTTTTCCAAATTTTTCAACCTTTTCCAATATTTTCAAACTTTTCCCACCCTTTCCCAACCTTTCCCATCCTTCCCCAACCTTTTCCAACTTTTTCTAAGCTTTTCAATCCTTTCCCAAATTTTCCCAACCTTTCTCACTCTTTTTGAACTTTTTCCAATATTTCCCCCCCCCATTCCCCCCCCATTCCCCCCGCTCCATCCCTGACCCCTCTCTCTCTCTCCCCGCTCCCCGCAGGTACTGGCGCAGCAAACGCCTCTCCCCCAAGCGCCTGAGCACGGGCATCCTGGTCTACACCCTGGCCTCGGCCCTCTGCGACCGCGTGCACCTCTACGGCTTCTGGCCCTTCGCCTGGCACCCGCGCAGCCGCCAGGCCCTGCCCTACCACTACTACGACAAGAAGGGCACCAAGTTCACCACCAAGTGGCAGGAATCCCACCAGCTCCCGGCCGAGTTCCAGCTCCTGGCGCGCCTGCACGCCCAGGGCCTGGCCCACCTCACCCTGGCGCCCTGTGCATGAGGCCCTTCCCCTTTATCCCCCCCTTATCCCAACCCCTCGCCCCCATCCCCAAGCGCTGGACCTGAGGGCGCTCCTTACCCCTCGTGGAATGGGTCGGAAGGGACCGTGCTTTCCCTGCATCCCATCCCAGTGCCCCCTCTTTGTATGGGATTCCACCTCCGTCCCCCTTTGCTCCACATTGACCCCGCTCCCTCGCCTTTATCCCCGATGAAGACCCATCTCCAGCGTCAGAGGCTTCCCAACAGAATTCCCTCGTTGTTATCCCATGCATCCCAGCTTTCCCTGCTCTTCCCACCCCTTACCCCTATCCACACCACGGTGTTCCCATCGCACCCCAAAGCCCCGCAGGCCCCTTGGGCAGGGATGTGGGAGCGCACCTTCGGGATGCTCGGAGCGCGGCCACAATTGGAGCCCCAATCCCAAAGGAGCCATGGAGGAAACAGGGATTGGGTTTATTCCAACTGGGAACAGCCACCATGGAGCAGGTTCTATTCCCACTGGTCCTGGCCCTCCATTCCCCTTCCCCAGTATAGCTGGTGAGATCCCAGTGGCTTCCAGGCTGGAAAACACCAGGAGCACCGTAGGCCTCGCACCTTTCCCTATGGCTCAGGCCAAGCGGCACCGCTGGGTGTCTCCTCTTCCTTCCCCCTATCCCAGTTCCTAAGGGATCCATCCCCGTCCTCACTGAATGTCCAGACAAGCTCAAGGAATGTCCACTCAGCGATGCTTGCAAGGCTGGAGCAGATCCGATGGAAGGCACTGGTGGGATGCAGCCCCCTTTGGGTACCATCCATTGGGTACCATCCCTTTAGGCAGCATCCTTTGGGTACCATCCTTTGGGTACCATCCTTTGGGTACCATCCCTTTAGGCAGCATCCTTTGGGTACCATCCTTTGGGCAGCATCCTTTAGGCACCATCCTTTGGGTACCATCCTTTAGGTAGCATCCTTTGGGTACCACCCTTTGGGTAGTGTCCTTTGGGTACCATCCTTTGGTTAGCATCATTTGGGTACCATCCTTTGGGTACCACCCTTTGGGTACCACCCTTTGGGCAGCATCTTTTAGATAGCATCATTTGGGTACCATCCTTTGGGTTAGCATCCTTTAGGTAGCATCCTTTGGGTACCATTCTTTGGATGCCACCCTTTGGGTACCACCCTTTGAGTACCACCCTTTGGGTACCACCCTTTGGGCAGCATCCTTTGGGTACCACCCTTTGGGCAGCATCCTTCAGGTACCACCCTTTGGGCACCATCCTTTCCCAGCGGGATGGGTGCTGGGTGCCTTTGGGTGCTGCCATTGGGCCGATGGGGCCAGCGGGAGAAGGGATGGATGCGGGAATGGGATCAATGGGATCGCCCTCAGGTCCTTCCCTCTGTTGGGGCTTGGCCCCTCACTGCCTGCATCCTCCATGGATGCTGGGGGAGAGACGGGGAACCTTCAGTGATGGAGGACACTGGGAAGCGGCTTCTCCAGGCTCTTTATTCCCATGGGATCCCCACTGATGGAGACGGAGCCGGGAAGCCATGGGAATGCCATGGAATCCCACCCGGGAGCAGCGGGATCCTGTGGTGTCTGTGGTGTGAGCGTGCCTGCAGCATCGTGTGCCAAACCCCCACTGGAATGCTCTGGTTTCCAATAAACGGGTTTCTTGTGCTTCGGAAGCCGCTTCATGGGATGGGATGGGATGGGAAGGGGTTGGGGATGGGATGGGATGGGATGGGATGGGATGGGGATGGGATGGGATGGGATTGGGATGGGATGGGATTGGGACTGGGGGGGGTCACTTCTTCCCCTCTATTCCCAGTGCCGGCGCATGGAATGGGCTGGTTTGAAGGAACCATTTTTCCCCCCCTTTTTCCCAATTTTTTCCCTTTTTCCCCCTTTACCAATTTCTCCCCCTTTTTCCCCAATTTTTCCCCATTTTTCCTCGTTTTCCCCAATTTTTCCCCCTTTCCCCCCCTTCATTCCTCCCGCTCCCCGCTGTTACCGGACGCTCCGCGGTCCCTTTAACCCGCGCCCCCCCTTCCCTTTAAACCCCCCCCAAGCCCCGCCCCTCCGCTCCTCCCTCTCTCCCATTGGCTCTTTCCCCGCGCTCAGGCTCCGCCCCCTCCCGTTGCGCTCCTGGACAGCTCCCGGCGCCGCGGGGCCCCGGTGCCGCTTCCCCCCCCCCCCCCGTTATTCCCGTTATCCCCATTGTTATTCCCGTTGTTGTTCCCGTTGTTATTCCCGTTGTTGTTCCCGTTGTTATTCCCGTTGTTGTTCCCGTTCCCATGAACGCGGAGCTGCCGCTGGAGCAGCTGGGCCCACCTCTTGTCTCCATAGCAACGCATCCCCGCATCCACCCCGCACCTCGGTGCTCCAGGATCCACCCCCATTCCGCATGGGCCCCATGCCCCTTCCTGCCCCTCCTCAGGAGCATCCCTCCTGCTCCATGGGATACTGGGACACTGGGATGGGATACTGGGACACTGGGATGGGATATCGGGACACTGGGATGGGATATTGGGACACTGGGATGGGATACCGGGACACTGGGATGGGATATCGGGACACTGGGATGGGATATCGCGACACTGGGATGGGATACTGGGACACTGGGATGGGATACTGGGACACTGGGATGGGAAACTGGGACACTGGGATGGGATATTGGGACACTGGGATGGGATACTGGGACACTGGGATGGGATATCGGGACACTGGGATGGGATACTGGGACACTGGGATGAGATACTGGGACACTGGGATGGGATATTGGGACACCGGGACATTGGGATGGAGAAGGGATGTCCAAGGGGCTCGGAGCCGGATGAGCATCCCAAAGGCCCTCACAGACCTAAGGACTCTGGGATGCACCAATGGGATGCGGGATGCACCAATGGGATGCAGGATGTGGGATGCACCAATGGGATGCCGGATGCGGGATGCACCAATGGGATGCAGGATGCGGGATGCGCATCCGAACCTGCCCCGTTACAGCCTAAGGGCTGGGTTAGGGCTCCCTTGGGAAGTGGGATCAGGTGCCAGGAGCACAATGAGCCCGAGCTCTGGAACTGCTGGGAGCCACTAAGAGCCATGGGTGGGAAGGGTTCCATGGGATGCCCCTTCAGTGGGAGCGGGGGTATCCATAGGGAAGAGCCCTGCTTCCTGCCCGTTATCCGTGCGGAACACACACATCCCAAGGGCTTCTGCCCAAAGTTTAATTGCAATCCCATCCCCATGGCAAAGACCGGAGCGAGGCCGCGGCCCCCGGGTGCTGGGATCGGAGTCTTTGGGTTCAGGAAGCGAAGGGAACTCGTCCCCCCCTTTCCCATCCCGCAGGATTCCGGCTCTTGGGGGGGATATTCCCAGGAAAACCCCGCTCCCCTTCTCCAAAGCACAGCCAGGGAATACCCAGGGATTCCCAAAGGGAAAAGAGCCTCATCCAACCGCCCCCCTCCCAGTTCAGAGCTCCAGTAAGCACTGGGAACAGAATTCCCGTGCCCTGCTGGGCTCTTCCCAAGGCAATCCCAGGAGCTGCTCCCATCCGTTCCCACAGGCAGGGCTCCACAGTGGCAACTGGGATGCAGACAGGAATCCACGTGGATTCGCATCCAATGGGAGCTGTGGGATGAGGGGATCAGCCGGGATCACAGCGGGACACCCCCCTGTCCCCTTGATGCCATAGGGATAACCAGAGGGATGGAGAGCGCCGTGAGCCAGTGCTGGAGGCTGGGAAGGGGGTGGCTCCATGGGCAGGAGCCTTGGGAATGCCGTCCCTTGGGCTCGGAAGCACGTTTGGCTCCTGGGTACCGGGAGCAGCCTCCTGGTCCAGGCCCCATCTGCGTGCATAGGGACAGGGCTTGGCTCTGCTGCCAGGAGCTGGGCATGGCATTCCCAATGGGAAGCAGGGAATTCCGTGTCCAATGGGACAGGGAGGCCGGAGGAAGACTTGGCCCTGCTCCCCCAAGGGAGCCGTGGCAGGAGGAAGGCACAAGAGACCCAAACCCCTCCCATTGGGGTCTGGACCCGGCCACGGCCGTGGGGAAGCAGCGGTGGAGGTCACTGGAGGGGGATCCCTGAGGGCCGGGCGCTTCCCGTCAGTCCCTGCACAGGAGGGAGGAGCTCACAGGAGGCCAAGCAGCAACGAGATCCAAGCCTGGCCCATGGGGGACCGGGCTGCAGGGGTGCTGGGTGCAGGACGCAGGGATCCAGGATGAAGGATGAAGAATGCAGGATGAAGGATGTGGGATGCAGGATGAAGGATGCAGGATGATGGATGCAGGGTGCAGGATGCAGGATGATGGATGCAGTATGCAGGATATAGGATATAGGATGCTGGATGCAGGGTGCAGGGTGCCTCACGGTGCCTGGCTGCTGAAGAAGGCTTTGCTCTCCCGGCACACGGGGTTCATGAAGGATGCAGGACGCAGGATGATGGATGCAGGATGATGGATGCAGGATGAAGGATATAGGATATAGGATATAGGATGCTGGATGCAGGGTGCAGGGTGTCTCACAGTGCCTGGCTGCTGAAGAAGGCTTTGCTCTCCCGGCACACGGGGTTCATGCAGGATGCAGGATGCAGGATATAGGATATAGGATGTAGGGTGATGGACGCAGGGTGCAGTATGAAGGATACAGGATGTAGGGTGATGGATGCAGGGTGCAGGGTGCCTCACGGTGCCTGGCTGCTGAAGAAGGCTTTGCTCTCCCGGCACACGGGGTTCATGAAGGATGCAGGATGATGGATGATGGATGCAGGATGCAGGGGTGCAGGGGTGCATGGATGCAGGGTGCAGGGTGTCTCACGGTGCCTGGCTGCTGAAGAAGGCTTTGCTCTCCCGGCACACGGGGTTCATGAAGGATGCAGGATGCAGGATGATGGATGCAGGATACAGGATATAGGGTGATGGATGCAGGGTGCAGGGTGCCTCACGGTGCCTGGCTGCTGAAGAAGGCTTTGCTCTCCCGGCACACGGGGTTGGTGCAGAGCGGGCAGCAGAGGGTGAACTGCCTGGAGCAGGCTCTCCGGGCCTGCAGGTGGGAGCTCACCAGCTCGGCCAGCGCCTGCGGAGAGAGCCTGCGTCAGGGGGGGACCCACAAGGGACCCCAAAGCCCCCCTGCTTCCAACGGGGACCCATTGGGATGCTCTGTGCCCATCGGGAGCCCCTTCAGGCACTGGGAGCTGCTCCCCTTTCCTCGAGGGGAGATCCTGCTCTCCACTAGAGCCTGCTCCTCCTCTTTACAGGGGGGCAATGGCCACTCTTGGGGGTACCCAGCTTGAGTATAGGGGATCCCCCTCTATTGCTAGAACCACACCTCCAAACAGGAGGGAACCACCCCTCGGGAGCAAAGCCCAAGCACCCCCTTGCAGCAGGTACCTTGGAGAAGAGCGGGTTTCCATTAAGGGATTCTGCTCGTCTGATGTTCTCCACTCCACACTGCAGGGGGAAACCAACAGAGGCGTCACCCAAACCCTCCCAACCTATCGGGGAACGCATCCGGCCCCGAACCCCATTGGAAGCAGCATCTCCAGAGGAAGAACCCCATAAAGCCCTCACCTCGTTGGCTAGGACCTGGCCATACTCGATATCCAGCTCATAGAGCGTCTCTATGTGGTCGCTGGTGAAGGCTATGGGGACCAGCAAGAGGTTCCTCTTCCCTCGCTGGCACAGGCCTTTGATGGTGTCATCTGTCGGGGGGCCGAGCCAAGGCATGGGGCCAACCTGGAGGCAAAGGGGGGGAAAGGAAGGGGTGAACTCCCCTTTCCATAAAGGGCACCTTAAGGGGTGTTGGGAAGCGCGTCCCTGTGAGGGCGGTGGGGCAATGCAGTGGCTTTGGGTCATGGAATAGGGTTGGAAAGGAGATAAGAGCATCCAGTTCCAACCCCTCACCCTAAACCATGGCTGTGGGGTGGGCAGCTCGCAGCCCATACCTTGGACTGCCACACCAGTCTGTAGGGGTGGGAGTACTGGAGCTCCTCCATGACCCTCTGCACTGTGGCCCCCACCTCCTGGGGGTAGGGGTCCCCACGGTTCACCACCTGCAATACACACACAGAGAGCACCCTGGGGTGACCCCACCAGGGCCCAGCACCCCTAGGGCTGCCCCATTGCTACTCACAGCCATGGGGAGGGAGTGAGCAGAGAAGAGGATGACGACGTCGTCCCTTCTGTCAGCAGGGAACAGGGCCAGCTCCTTCTGGATGTGGTCGGCAAAGCACTGCTTGGGATACAGGGAGCGGGATCAGATCCGATGGGGAACGGCTTCACCCTGCCATAGGGCTGAGAGGAGGAGATGGGGCTGCCCCATCCTATTATATAGGATGCCTGTTATATAGGATGGCGTCCTTATAGATGCCCCATAGCTATTAGGCTAACCTGGCCATGGATTAAGGGCAGATGGGCAGGATCTGAAGGCAAGATCCCATCGGATCGTGCCAAAGCACAAAGCATCCCCTCCTCCATCCCTCCATACCCAACAGGGGAGGGAACGCTTCAGTCCCAGGTGCCCGCTGCTGCATGGCCCCATACCCGGATCAGCAGGGGGTGTGTGGGCCACCGGTCAATGATGCTCCACTTCATCCTCGGCTTCGCCCCCTTGTGGCGATAGTAGCGGTAGATGGCGTTCAGACTGCTGCCTGCAACACACACAGGGAGGGATGCTCCTGGAAACCCCTTCGGGAGGGGGCACTGCGATGCTGGGGCTGTAAAGCGGGCCTGGGGTGGGATGGGATGGGATGGATGGGATCGGATAGATGGGATGGATGTGGTGGGATGGGATGGATGGGATGGGATGGGATGGGATGGGATGGGATGGGATGGAATGGATGGGATGGGATGAATGGGATGGGATGAATGGGATGGATGGGATGGGATGGGATGGGATGGCATGGGATGGGATGGGATGGGATGGATGGGATGGGATGGGATGGGATGGATGGGATGGAATGGGATGGGATGGGATGGATGGGATGGGATGGATGGGATGGGATGGAAGGGGCCTTCAGGCTCACCCCACTTCCAAACCCTCGCCATTAGGGTATCCAGCAGGGACACCCACCTGTGGTGGAGCAGCTGTACTGGGGGTACTGGGTGAAGGCCACAGCCCTCTCAATGCCATCCTCCTCCATCTCCTCAATGGCTTCCTCTGTCAGGGGGTGCACATAGCGGAACCCGATGTAGTACTTGTGGGGTGCTGCAGGCAAAGCACAGCAAGGGGAAGGGGGGGTCACCATAAGGCCCTATGGAGCAGGGCTGGGGGTGCTGGGGGGGGGGTTTAGAGCATCCCCCAGTGCCTATCGGGGTGCAATGTTGGATGCTGGATGAGCTTGAGGGCCCTTCCCAAGCCACTGCCCTATGGGAACCCCTATTGGGGGCAGCAGCCCCGTGCTCCGAGCCTTATCCACAGCACCCATTCAGGGGAGGCCTCCAGGGCCTTATCGGGAGCAGGGGCTGGGTGGGCCAGCACAGACCAGAGCAAGGGCTGATACCAGCCCCCAGGCTTTATCTGCATAGGGCAGGGTGGGCCCCAGCCCCTTCTGGGCCCCTCTGCTCTGCCCCCAGGCTGCAGGGCCCCATTGCAGGTGCATGGGGAGCAGTCCCTTCCCCTGCGCTGCTTTGGGTTGAAGGGAGCTTAAAGCCCGCCCCATTGCACCCAACCCATTCCCATGGGGAGGAATTGATTCCCAGTATCCCACACTGGGGCCTATGGGATCCATCCCCATTGGCCAGCAGGAGGAACCCCCTTGGAGCTGCCCTATCTCCTGCTGGGCCCTGCCTCCTATCCCTATCAGCCAGCCCAGCCCTGCAGGCCTTGTTCACCCTGCCCATTGCGGGTGCTGCTCCAGCCTTATCTGCAGCAACAAGGGGTTGGGGTGCCCCAGGGCCAGCAGTGGCACCCCCATGGCCACCAAGCCTTTAAGCAGGAAGCTATTAGGAGACCCCAATAGAAGCAGGCATTGAAGCCCCATTGCTCTGCCTAAAAGGGAATGGAATGAGGGGTGCCCCCCTTCACCCCGCACCCACCCCCCAGTAATACCAGTATGAGGGGACATGCTGTCCAGCAGCTGCACCATGGCCTCCCCTTGCAGCGCCGTCCACTTCCTGATGGGGGAGCCTCCTCCGATCCTGCTGTACTGCTCCTGGATGCGGGGGGCGCGGCGCCTGGCGATGATGGGGGCCAACCGACTGCAGCGTGCACAGGGGTACGGAGCGGGATCAGCACCGGGGTACCCCCCATCCATGATGGGTACCCCCGCATCCCTGATGGGTACCCCTGCATCCATGATGGGTACCCCACATCCCTGATGGGTACCCCCGCATCCCTGATGGGTACCCCCGCATCCCTGATGGGTACCCCCCCATCCCTGATGGGTACCCCCCCATCCCTGATGGGTACCCCCGCATCCCTGATGGGTACCACCCGCATCCCTGATGGGTACCCCCGCATCCCTGATGGGTACCCCCGCATCCCTGATGGGTACCACCCCCATCCCTGATGGGTACCCCCGCATCCCTGATGGGTACCCCCGCATCCCTGATGGGTACCCCCGCATCCCTGATGGGTACCCCCGCATCCCTGATGGGTACCCCCCCATCCCTGATGGGTACCCCCCCATCCCTGATGGGTACCCCCCCATCCCTGATGGGTACCCCCGCATCCCTGATGGGTACCCCCGCATCCCTGATGGGTACCCCCCCATCCCTGATGGGTACCCCCGCATCCCTGATGGGTACCACCCGCATCCCTGATGGGTACCCCTGCATCCCTGATGGGTACCCCCCCATCCCTGATGGGTACCCCCGCATCCCTGATGGGTACCCCCGCATCCCTGATGGGTACCCCTGCATCCCTGATGGGTACCCCCGCATCCCTGATGGGTACCCCCGCATCCCTGATGGGTACCCCCCATCCCTGATGGGTACCCCCCCATCCCTGATGGGTACCCCCGCATCCCTGATGGGTACCCCCGCATCCCTGATGGGTACCCCCCATCCCTGATGGGTACCCCCCCATCCCTGATGGGTACCCCTGCATCCCTGATGGGTACCCCCCCATCCCTGATGGGTACCCCCCCATCCCTGATGGGTACCCCCCCATCCCTCACCTCTGTGCTGGCAGCTTCATGAGGTCCGTGTCGAGGAAGAGGCGAAGCAGGAAATCATGGACATCCTCCAGGCGCTCCGGGCCGCCCATGTTCAGCATCAGGATGCCTGTCTTAGGCTTGCTATGGGAGCAAGAGGCAGCGCCAGCCCAGCTTACCCTCCTGCCCGAGCAGTTTCCTCCTTAGCTCATCCCATTTATGCGACCGGGATGAGGTTTAGGGCCCTTCCCAAGCCAAACCAGCCCATGGGGCTGTAACACCCCCCTGTTTGTCCCATTGCCCCACTCACCGGGCCTGCGGGTGCGTGCGGGGCTGGGTGCTGGCTGTCAGGGCACTGGTCTGGGCCCTCCATCGCACTGGGAGCTGCAGGTGGCTGCTGCCCTGCAGCACTGCGGGACAGGGAACAGGGAACAGCCCCCCCGTGAGCACCCAGCAGCCAAGGCAGGGAAGGAGCGGGGGCCTCCTGCATCCCTCTGCACCCCAAAGGGCACCAGGGAGGGCTCCCAGAGCACGGCAAGGAAGGGAACTCCTCGGAGTACACCTGGGGGTGCAGGCAGGGAAAGCACCCCTGCAGCGTCCCTACAGCATCCCTATAGAGTCCCTACAGCATCCCTATAGCATCCCTACAGCATCCCTATAGCATCCCTAAAACATAAGCATCTCTACAGCATCATTATAGCATCCTTATAGCACCTCTACAACATCCCTACAGCATCCCTAGAGCATCTCCACAGCATCCCTATGGCATCTTTATAGTACCCCTAGAGCATCCCTACCACATTCCTATAGCATCCCTATAGGATCCCTACAGCACCCTTACAGTATCCCTATAACATCCCTATATCATTCCTGTATCATCCCTATAGTATCCCTATGGCACCCCCACCGCAGGATCAGCCTGGCTGGGGTTGAGGACCCTTCTCCAGACCCCAACCCGCACCCCCCACCCCCAAAGGCGAAGCTCCCCCCAAGGCGAAGCTCCCCCCAAGCCACCCTTGCTCCAAGCCACCCTTGCCCATTCACACCCCGTAACCCCCCTCTCCGGTCCCGCTGCAGCTCCGGCCGGACCCCGCGCCGCCCCCACCGCCGTTTCCCCCCGTTACAACGGGATCCCAACGCACGCCGCCAGCCCCAAACGGGACGCGTTCCCCCGCAGGACGGAGGGGCCTAGGGGCAGGCCTCTGCCGCCGGCTGGGCCCGGCCTAGGGGCGAGGGGCACCCGCGGGCCGGTAACGGGGACCTCCGGGGGCAGCCGGAGGCCAACCTGACCCCCCCCCCGCTCCGTTGTGTAACGCGGGCCCGGCGCTGCCGCCGCCGCCTCCCGGAGCCCGGAGCCCTCCCCCCGGGCCTGAGGCCCCGCTCCGGGCCCGCCCGCACTGCGCTCACCGGGACGCGCGGCCCGCACCGCGCCCGCCGCCATCTTGGCCGCCCGCATTCCCTCAGACGCTCCCGCCGGTTCTGGGCGAGGGGCGGGGCCTAGAGGAAGGGGCGGGGCCTGCCCAGGGAGGGGCGGGGCCTCCGCAGGGGGCGGAGCGGAGGCATCGACCCCCGGGTCCTAAAGGGGCTCCGAGAGGCTTGGGATAAGCGCTGGGGCACTGGGAATGGGTTTGAAGCAGCAGAAGGGATGGAGATGGGATAGAGGGAAGGAGCCGTTCCCATGGGGGCGGTGGGGTGTCCCTATGGATGGAGCTGGGCTCCCCGGATTCATGGATGGGGTCCATCCCCACTGTGGATGCTGCAAGGGTGCTCCGAGCTCAGCAAGGAGAGGCAGGGAGCGCAGTGGTGCTGGAGCATCCTTTATTGGGGCTCATGGGGACATGCAGGAGGGAGGAAAGCGGCCCCTGGATCCTCACCCAACACCTCGAATACGCACTTAATCCTATTCCATAACTTGGCTCGAGCCACAGAATCCATTGGGATGCAGCTGGGAGAGGCGGAATTGCTGGACAATGAAGCCAGGCTTCACACTCAGGAGCCCAGATCCAGTTGTACTGCTGAGGTCCCGGTTCCTTTGGGAGACGGGGCAACTGGGACTGGGAGGCAGCACGCTGCTCCTGTATCCATGAGGATCCGGTATGGGTCCTTCACCCCCGGGGAAAAGGGAGAAGCAGCAGCCTCATTCCTCCTCACCAATAAATAATCAGGGAACACAAGGAAAACCCAGCCCTCTTGCAATGGAATTCCATGGGACCGACGAGCGCTGCTCAGCGGCAGTATCCCTGCTTTGGCACTCCTTCCTCCCATTCCCAGCCATGGCTATGGGGGAATCCAGGCAGCCCCATCCCAACGGAGCGGCCCCGCTTCCTTCCCACTTGCAAGCAGGGGTTGATTTTCCTTGGGGCTCCCGTTCTCCCAATGGCTCCTTCTCAGCACCGTGGAGCCGCAGGGGCAGCCCTAGGGTTTGCAGCGCTGGACGAAGCGGGGGTACAGACACACATCCCTGATGTGGTGCCGGTTGAGGATCCAGGTGAGGAAGCGCTCCAGGCCCAGGCCGTAGCCGCCGTGGGGGCAGGTCCCGTACTTCCTCTGCGCCGTGGGAAGCAAGGGGGGGACATTGGGATCCCGTTGGCGCCCTCAGCATCCCCGCAGTGAGGGCAGTGAGGAGCTGGTGCCGCTCACCTGATCCGTGTACCAGTAGTACGGGCCGGGGTCGATGCCCTCCCTCTTGTACCCCCCCAGCAGCTCCTCGCTGTCCCAGATGCGCATGGAGCCCCCGATGATCTCCCCGACGTTCGGCATCAGCACATCCACCTGCAGCGGGCAGCACCCCGGGTCACCCACACCGAAGGGACAATCCATCCCATGGGATCGGTCGGGACAATCCCATAGGATCCCGCATCCCGGTTTGGGGATCCCAACTTACGGACTCGGTGAGGCGGGGGTCGTCGCGGCAGCGCTGCATGTAGAAGGCCTTGATCTCGGCAGGGAAGCGGCACAGCAGGATGGGCTCCGCGATGGTGTCCGTCATCAGCCTCTCCGGAGCCTCGGGAATGTCCTGGGATGGGGTTAGGGGATGATGGAGATGGGAAAGGAGCCAGGAGCAACGGGAACGTGGTGGGGATGAAGGGGTGAGGGGCCTCACCTCTCCAAACTCATAGTGAGTGCCGTCCTCCTTCTTGACGTCGTGCTCCTTGAGCCACTCGATGGCTTGGCTGTAGGTCATCCGTCGGAAGGGACGCTTCGGGGGCTGGAATCCCTGAGGAAAGCAGTGGGAATGGGGGGAGAACACGGCTCAGGCAGCGCTCTCCGTCCACAAATGCTCTCACACCCATAGAGGGCAGTAGGAACACAACGGGGACAGAGGCTCTGTACCCGATGGAAGCACTCAGAGCTCCCCCTTTTGGGGGAAGAAGCAAACCAGTGCCTGCTCCCTGCTCCAGCCCAGCACCAGCACCAGCTCTGGGATGGAGGCTTGGTAAATCCCAGTGTGCTCCTGGGAGGACTGGGTGGGTTGGTTCTTCCCATGTGGGTTTCAGCTCCCTCCCAACCCAAACCAGTGTGGGATGGTATTTAACATTGATACCCTACCAGTGAGCAAGCAGCGCTCCCTGCTCTGCCCACCATTCCCATCACCCCATTGTCCCTGCCATCGCTCCCACGCACCGGGTTCAGGTCATAGAGCAAAGCAGCTGCAGGGGACCTCAGGACCCTGTCCACCACATCACACACCAGGTCCTCCAGTCGCTCCAAGAGCTCCTCAAAGCTTAGGAAGGGGCACTCGGCTTCGATGTGGGTGTACCTGGAACACAGCCCCCATCAGAGAGCCACCCAAGAGCCCCTGTGCTTCAGTCAATGCCTCCTGAGCACTGCTGGACACATCCACTGCTCCCTGCTCACTCTGCCAAGTGCCTGCGGGTGCGGGACTGCTCGGCTCTGTAGGACTGGGCGATGCAGAACACGTCCCCCAGGGCCGGGATGCAGGTCTCCAGGTAGAGCTGGGAGGACTGGGTCAGGAAGGCCTCTTCCCCAAAGTAATCCAGCTTGAAGAGAGTGGAGCCCCCCTCCACCTGGGTCTGCACCAGCGTTGGTGGCGTGACCTGGTGGGGAAGGCGATGGGGTGACCCCAGTGGGGAAGGAAGGGCAATGACCACGAGGGAATGAGATCCATAAGGGAACCCACGTGGTTCTCCCAGCGAGAACAGAGCCATGGGCACTCACCTCGTAGTAGCCATGGGCAAAGAAGTGGTCCCTGAAGGCCTGCACCACCGTGGAGCGCACCTTGAGGATCTTGGCCATGTTCTCCCCTCGGATCATCATGTGCCTGTTGTTGAGCTGCACGTCCACCTCCGAGTCCTCGTTGAGGACGTTGTCGGCTCCTCCCGCTGGGGCCAGCCCTATGAGCTCCCAGTAGTCACAGTTGAGCTCGTGGCCACCCGGAGCCTGCCAAGGGCAAGGGGGAACGCATCAGATGCCTCCTGCTTGGGCATGGCATCGTGGTGGGGAGCTTGGGTTCAGCCCAGTGTGAACCCCACCATGAGGAGGGAACTGCTGACCCCCTTCAGCTGCTCCATGGGGAAGATGATAAACACCAGACCCATCCTTGGGGAGGGCAGGAACCCACCCAGACACTAGCAGCCCCATTGGGTGAAGAGCCCTCCCACATAGGAGAAGGCAGACCCACTCCCCATGCTCCTTTCCCTGCGTGCACGGCCCCATAGGAGAGCCACCCCATACCTGCTTCCCTTTGGGAACGAGGGTCAGCGTTCCATACACTGCAACGCTGCTCTCCGTGGAGAGAACCAGCCCGTTGTAACACTGGCACTGAGGGGGGAAAGCACAGGTTGGGGTTGGGGTGATGGGGATGGGAGCCCCCCCCTGCTTTAAGCAGTGCTCATGTTATCACTTGTGCCTCCCCTTCCCAAACAGGGGTTTTGGCCAATGCCACAGCGTAAATCAGAGGGTTTGGTGCTCCCATTGACAGGGAACAGGATGAGGATGAGCAATCCCCTAATGGCAGGGTGAAGGCACCGCTCCCAACTCACCAGCTCATCCGCCAGCACGCACTGCAGGAAACCAGTGCCGTCCCTCAGCACAACGAACATCAGGTTCTTCCCTATGGGGGGGACAGGGAGAGGAGCCTGGAGCGTGCTCATTCCCCCCTGGGCTCACAGGAGGGGCTCACACCTCAATGCCCACGCTCACCCTGCCTCCTCAGGCGGTGAATCCAGCCAAACACCTTCACCCGCTGGCCCCTGTGAGCCTCCAGGGCAGAGATCTTCACCTGGGACACGGGGAATGAAGGCAAGGGGACAGTGTTTCCCATGGGATTACATGGAGAATGTGCACATCCCCCCCCAGGCTGGATCCCACCCTGCCCCACAGCACCCCTGCCCCACACTCACACATTTTGGCTCCGGGAGCCTGGGGTCGTTCTTGATCACAACCTTCTTGGCCTCCTCCAGGTTCTTCTCCCTCCTCAAGAGATCCTCTGCCTGCAGGACAAGGGAACGTGATGCATTCCATAGGATTGGGGTGCACTGTGGGTTACCATGTCCATGGGTGCCCTAATTCACACTCACACTGGGAATGGGGGCACGGCTTCATTCCTCACCTAAGCACGGCCAAGCCCTGAGTATGAATGGGGAACAGGCCCCACATGAAGCCTTATGGAGCCGGGAATGCCACCCCCCCCGTGTAACCGGGATGGGGAAGAGCGGGACGCGCTTCCCAGCCTGGCCCCCACCTCCTTCCTCTCCTTGGCTTCGCTCCTCATCTGCTCCCGGTGCCACAGCTTCTTGCCGTTCTTCATCTGCGACTTGGAGATGATGGCCCATCGCTGCGGGAAGGGAAGCAATGGGGTCACGGCCCTGCACGGGGGGGCGCTGCCGGAATTCCCCCCTGGAAGCCCGCAGCACCTCGTTCTCCTTCTGCGAGTCCACGTAGATGGTGGGGAACGGCTCCTTGCCCGCGGTCAGCAGCGCCTGCGAGGGGCAGCACAGCAGGGTGAGCACCCGGAGCCGTTCCTAAGCAGCGCATCCCAGCCCCACAGCCCCACTATGCCATGAGGCCTACCCCCGCCCGGCCTCACCTTCAGAACCGTCTTGAACGGCTTCTTCTGGGTCCCGTCCCCGCTGCAATCGTTGCCTTCGCGGTCGGACACGTAGAGCTCCTCTGGAACGGGGCCCGGCCCCGTTAGCAGGAGAGGAACCGGGCCCACACGGGCCTGGAGGCCTCCTCCGCTCACCCCCGCTCCCTCCCGCCCTAAGGCCGCAGCCCCGCTACCACAGAGCTCCCTCGGCCGCAACCGCCGCGGCGCCCGCCGCCATCTTCCCCCGGGCCGAGGAGCGCGCTGCCGAGCCGAAGGTTCCCGAAGCGCTCCGAAGAGCACCAAGCGGCTCCGATCCTCTCCGGAAGGGAGCGAGCGGCTCCGAGAGCCCTTAGAGAACGGCGGGAGCTCTCCCTCCCTCCCGCCCCCCCGCCCGCCCACCGTCCGCCCGCCGCCGGGCCTCACCGAGCACCAGCGCTCCGGTCCTGCCCAGCACCTCGTCCGCCATGTCAGCCCGGAGCCCCGCCGGCAGTGCGTCACCGCGCTTCCGCCCACCGGGAAGGGCGGGACACCGGCGGGAGGCGGGGAGAGAGACCCAATGCGGGAGAGGTAGTAGCGTCACGTGACCAGAAAAGCCCCGCCCCTTGCCCGCTCCCCTGAGGGGAAGCCCCGCCCCTCGCTCAGCTCCTGAGGTAACCGCGGCCCGGGCGCCCCGGTGCCGGTTGAGGGCAGCTCCGGTGCCGCCGTTCCCGGCCCTTCCACGTCCTCCGTCCTGTGAAGGAGCTTTAGGACCTTTATTGGGTGAACTCTGAAATGTACACGCCACTGCCGGCGAGCCGGATGTCGCGATACCGGCGCTCGGCCCCCTCCCTCCTCAGCGCGGGAGTCGGGACAGAGTCGCGATAGACATTGCCGCGCTCCGGGGTCCGGAGATGGGCAGGGAGGAAGCCCCGTTGATCCCGCTTGGATCCGTGTATCCCGAAGGAAAGCCGGGCAGCGGCTGTGGGGGCCGCCCGCTGCGCTGGGGCCTGGAGGCCGGCACCGCATCCCCAGCCAGCCCCGGCCGGGCCAGGCCGCAGCCACGCCAGCTCCACCGGGAGCAGTAGGCCCGACCCGGCGGCCTTGCACCGGGCTGTCCGGTATCACCGCGGGCAGGCCTCACCCCCCGGGGCGCCGGGGCCCAGCGCGGCTGCCAGAGGAGCCCGCTTCTTGCGGAGGCTGCGCCCGGAGGCGATGAGCTCCGCGTAGCCGCGCTGGTGCGAGAAGGCGTAAGCGGAGCGCCGGGCCGATACCCCCCTGCGGAGGGCGCTGGGCCGCCGCTTCCAGCGCTGCTCGTCGGCCGCCAGCTGCCTGCGGTGCCTGCGGAGCTGCGGGGAGCACACAGGGACGAGCCCGATGGAGCCCGAGGCAAGTGGGGAGCAGCACGGAGGGGTTCGGGTGGAGATGGGATAGGGGGGAGCGCGTCCCTGTGAGGGGGGTGTGGGGAGGGGGAAGCCGGGTGGGAGCAGCTCGGGGATGTGGAAGCGGGTGGGCTTTAAAGGGCCCCAATCTACCTCCATCCGTACCCCCCCCCATTCCAACTCGTGTGGGTAAACCCGTGCCCCGTGAACCGACCCAAGCGTCCCGCTTCACTCACCCTGTCGCTTTCCGAAGGCCACACTGTCGTGGCTAAGAAGCGCTGGGCCACTATGGGCAGTAAGCAGATAGCGATGGATAAGATCATGGTGAGCCACAGGTACGGCTGCCTCAGGGCGTTGGGGGCAGTGCCTGGGCATAAACAAGGCAAAACTGAGTGTATGATGTGCTCATTCAAGTGGGTGGAATGCATATATAAAGGTACTGAAAGGCACAGCTTGTTTTCTGGGGGTGTAATATGGGGGTATTGCGCCGTGTAGCACAACATCAGGCTTTGCTTCGGGCTCTGCTGTGAGGGGAGTATAATAGGAACGCGTTTGTAAAGCACTTTTCCTACAAGAAATCCATGCCCAAGCCCTTTTGGGTCCTATTTGTGGACTCCAACTGCTGGATAATGCCCAATTCCAGCACATTTTGATTGAATACTCCCAAACAAAGCATCGCTTTGGCCACAGTTCAGGACCACGAACCACAAAGCACAAGGACTCACCGGTGAACTGAAAGCCAGAAGGGAAGAGAACGTGGATCCCAGCGCTGTGGAAGTCAAAGGTGATGCCAAAGTAAAGTGCAATGCTCCCAAACACGGAGAAGGCGTTCACAAAGGTCCAGTAGGACGTATCCAAGCAAATCTGGAGGCCAAGCAGAGCTCCAAGTGAGCCAACTCCTCTCAACCCCATGCAAAGGGAGCACCAACAGGGAGGAGAAGGCCTCAAAAGAGCAGCTTTTTGCTCGTTGCCGTGGCTTGAGGAGCCAAAAGCAGGCCCAGAGCTGAGGAAACTGAGCTGGCTTGCCTGGAAGTTGACCACAAATATCAGAGAGGAGGCTGCTGTGACAGCAAAGGACTGATAATCCGAGGGCGCTTCCCCATCCTGCCCCATGGTTTTCAGGTAGGCTCCATAGGGGATGAAGAAGATGACCAAGGAGGTGACAGCTCCGTGAAGCAAACTCAGGAAGAACTTCTTGTAGTTGAAGAGTAAATCCTTCTGGCCCACCACGTAGAGCCTGGGGAAGCGGAGGCTCAGCTTGTCGCTCACGTCCTTAGGAAGAGAAAGAGGCCACCTGTAGCAGCTCCTTGGGGTAAGCTTCGTGAGATGGGATGGGATGGGATGGGATGGGATGGAAGGGCCCTTGGAGCCCGCGCAGTTCCAAGCCCATGGCCAATACCTGGTCGAGCAGTCCGACGAGGAGCACGGGGAGGCTGGAGTACAAGACGTTGTAGAGCGTGATGAACCAGTCTTCATAGGCTGTCTGCGAGAGAGGAGGGAGGAGGAAGCTCCCGAGAGCTCCCACGGGCTTTACGTGCCCTGCTCCGTGCCTGCTCAACCCCTTAGCTCGAGGTGAGGGTGCCCTGCTCCTTCCCTCAGGCTCCCATCGCTCCCCAGGTGAAAGCTCTGCAGTGCCACGCTCCCTCTTGCCGTTACACCCAGCACCCTCCTTACCTGGGCGGAGAAGCCGTTGAAGAAGGAGTACCAGATGTGCACCAGCGTGAAAGCAAAGTTCTTGTAGAAGAAGTATCTCAAGAACTTGCACATCCTGATGTAGGACCAGCGCCCGTGGACCAGCAGCAGCCTCTGGAGGTAGCGGAACTGCCCGAAGGAGTAGTCACTGGACATGACAGCTTGCATCCCTTCCTGGCCGCTGATCCCGACTCCAATGTGAGCAGCTACGTGAAGGAAACACACACCGCGGCGTGAGCAGACCTCCCACCACTGCTGGGCACTCCACAGTGGAAACCGGAGCCCAGAACCGGCTTTCCCCTTAGGGTTGGGTCTTTACGCTCCCTGTTTGTAACCCACAGAGGTCCCTTCGTGGGGGGAACGTCCACAGAATCCATCAGGAAGCCCCAGTAGGGCTTCCTCAAGGAGGGAAAGCACAGATGGAAGCAAGCAGAGCCCAAGGGCTGAAGTGAAACAGATGGAGGAGTCTTCTCAAAGAGCGACAGCCAAGAGGCTGCAGAGGAGCTCTTCTGCAGGTGCCTTACTTTTGATCATGTTGACGTCATTGGCACCATCCCCAATAGCCAGGGTGATGGCTTTCTTGTACTTCTTCACCAGCTCCACCACCATGGCCTTCTGCTTCGGGGTCACCCGGCAGCAGATCACAGCCTTGCACTCGCACGCCAGCTCCACAAAGTTCTGCTGCTGCTGCTCCTTGGAGGCCTCGGCCCTTTCCCTCTTCTCCTTCTGCTGCTTCTCCTCTTCTGCTGATCGGGGCAGCTTGAGCTTCAGCTTCTTCTTCTTCTTCTTCTTCTCCAGCAGGATTTCATTCTGTGGCAGCAAAGGGAAGCAGGGAGCCCTGGCATCAACCGGGCTGGGGAAGAGCTTCGGGTCCATGCCCTAAGCAGGCCAGGAGAGCATCTCCGGTACGTACCAACCAGGAGCCAGTGATTATTAAAGCACGATCCCTGCTGCCTTGGAAGAAGGGCTCATTCATTCCCAGCGAGGAATGGGCACTGGATCCAGCTGTGTTCCTCTGGTTTTCCAGCCTTGTCTGAAGAAGAGCACTGGGGAAACAGGGATAAACCTGGAGCTGGATCAGGCCCGGCCTCAAAACCGACAAGGAATAGGTGCTGCAAGGACTTTTGTTGCCATGTGTTGGGTGATGATCTAAGCAGTGCTACAAGAGGTTTGCCAATAAGGAAAACTCGGGGAAAATGGGTCAGGAATAGCTGTGACACTGTTACAAAGCTCCCTTTCTCCCAATCCTATGTTGCTTTCCCTTGGGATTAACTGAATTTCTGGGCTTCGAGCATAGGTCTGTAGTGCGTGCAGGAGCATGGGGTAACACTGAGGTCCAGGGACACACAGTGAGAGCAGCTCTTGGCTGCTTCTCAAACTGGGCACTAGGGAGAGGCCTGCTCAGCTCAACCCAGGCCTGGAGGCCCTGGGGGACAAGCCGTAGGGATCATGTTATCCAGGGAATGGTTTTCCCTGGGCTCCCCACTTGCCTGGTGTCTTCCCCATAGCAGATGGTGGTTTCATCCGTTAGGAGCTCACAGGAAAATCCAATGTTTTCAGCCGTTTCTACAATGGAAAGCAGTCGGAGGCAGGGAGTCAGGAGGAGCCAGCCCAGCTCCCTCAGCCTGGCTCCAGAGAGCATCTCTGGGCTCCCTCTTGGGTTACCCCAACTTATCCCGCTTTCAGGGTGAAACGC